TTCCAGGCTCTGAAGAAGGCGATACTGCCGAAACGTCAGCTAGCGCTGTATTGTATTGTGTTTTTATGGAAGTAAATGTAATGATTTGATACAAAAGACATTGTGAGCCTATGCAGAGGAAAGAAACAATCAACTAAGAAATGCATTCATATGAATGCGTAAGAATATATAACATAGCTTACAACATAGCCAATAAAGGTACAACATCTTTGGCATGATTTGATTTAAGATACGGTAACCAAGCGGAAGCAATCACTTTAGATCTTAAGCTGTAGATTTTTCGTCAGCTGTTGTACAGAAAGGTTAAAGGTAACGCGCGCAGCAACATCAGTGCGATAGATGTTTCTTTCCACCAGAGATTTTCTTGGGATCCCGTATTTCCATCTCTTTCATTGAACCCTAAAAATTTGTTACTGTATGGAATTTGAGCTCATCAAAACACTTACCACTTAACATCTGGAATTCCATTTAATTAAAAGTAACAAATCACTTAGACCGATAAAATCCAAAAACCTTGAAAAATAAAGTGAAACTGAACAGAAAAGTGATCTAAACGTACATTATAGACTCGTGGAGACACTCCAGGGAGGACTGTGTCAACTGCATAAGCTAGCATAGCTGCTTGCATCCCCGTATTACACATGGTCACAACCGGTTGATCCTGCCGATATCCGTTAGCGTAAAGCCCTAAACAAGGCTATGTCGTTATGAAAGGCAAGATAAACAGTTTTTTCCGATAATTCGAATGTTAGAAAGATGAGAAATAGCGCAATAAAATTTCGTATAATCACGATGATGCTGAGATATTTTCAAAACTCCAGACCGCCGGTGTCTGCGGTGGTGACCGAACAAGGTATTTCACTAACTGGGTGCTAACGCGTTCACCACCACACCATGCGAGTCCTTCCCTTCGCCTTTTTCTCAGCCGTGTCATTGACCTATACGTTTTGATGTTGATGACTATAGGTACTATTCAAAATTCTATATAATCGAACTCGTAAAAAAATATGACTATTAGAATAAGGTAACCAACACTGACGAATCTCTTCGGGATTTTTCATAACTCCCTTCTCGTCAATAAGTTCGGCAGCTGGAATATTTTTAAAACCAGGAATGTTGCTACCAGCCACACCTAAACAATGTCTAGTATCCAAAACCTAGCAGACCATCGATGGGAAACATGGGATGTTCTGTGTTGGTCGCAAATGACATCACTAGCAGAATAAAGGTGGTCAAAATACAGTGGTAAAAACGTATGAAATTATGAAGACATAAAGATTTACGATGAAATCTCATCGACAGTTTCGAAAATATCCAAGCAAGCTTCTGTAGTCTATGAATAAGTCAAGAAATAGTAAGCACTCACGATAGGGATCTAAACCCGTATCTTCCGTACCATTAAACTGGCCACGAATTCGTGAATCGATGAAGTTAATCTGAAATGACATCTCTGCTACACGTCATAGAATGAATGTAAAATTCTAAATACCCAAACTGCTAAGACTTATTTAATGGAGGAACTAAATGATACATTAGTACAGTAGCGAAATAAGATCATGGCTAAGGGACCATGCAATTGGTGAGAAACAAAGAAAGTTCTGACAAAAAAATTCTTGGAGTATCTAAGAAATTTATCAGCTTAATATGTATCGCCCCTTTTTAACAGACAACAAAAGCAAAAGCTCAAAAGCTCCCGGCTTTGGTCAATCCCTTAGGGATGCGTCATTCATTCGACTGCACTAACACCGTTAGAGGTGGTTGAATGCATATCTCGCCCTTACAATGACTCGCGGTGGCCCATCGATGTATCGAGCCAGTACTACTATTCGCCCAGACAAGTCCGGTACCAATTTGCCGACCCCGCAGGGATGGAAGGCTTAGTGGGCCGGGGTTAGGGATCGATCACAGGTGTATTGAAGGGGCCTCCGACCTCTGCGCCACACGCGCCTTTGTATAATGTATGAGGTATAATGTATAACAAAAGAACTACACAGAAATGCCTTTGGAAAAAAATACAAGGTACTAACCTTGTCCGTTTGGTCCATGTACTGTTTTCCTCCCTCTTTCGCCTCCATCTCTTCAAATTTGATGTTATTCAAGGATATATCGTCTTTAGCTTTCCAATTTCCATGCTTGAATAACTTCTTTTGAATAAAAAACCACCGTACAAAACCAAAAAAGTGGGCAAACCATCTGTTTACTCACGGGCAGTTGAACATCCGCTTTGCTAACTTCAAAGCCACTTTTTTTCCATTGATCAAATCCACCGTCAACAACTGACAACTTCCCATGACCATACGACTAGAAAGTACAGTATTTCTACAGTAAAATTTGAAAGTCCGAAAAAAAAATGGTTCGAGAAGCCTGTAACAACGCAAACACTGAACCTTAAACAGCCAAGCGAACTTAGAGCTGTACATCATTCCTCCAATGGAACCACGGGAATATAAGATGATATGCTCTCCACTGTTGATCCCAACCATCTAAAACAAGGTCGTAGAGCTGTCCGATAGATTGAAATTTTTCAATCAATTCAATAAGTCAATAGATCAATCGGTCAAGAAAAAAAACTCTTCACCCAGTACTACACATTTACAAGAATAGTATCGGTATAACTACTGCTTATTGTGTGACAACCTTGATTTTCTACCAATACTACTTACTTGGATATTTGTACACCCCATCCTCACTGGTTGTGCACAAAATCTGTCCTAGGTCCTCACCACCACAGGCAGTCGCCGCCACTGTGGATCAGGAGATTTGCCACCACACGACTAGTCCGACACCAGGAGGTGGATCCTGGTATTGGTTTACTCTTGGCTACGCTTCTTGTTGGAAACGCCGGACTCCCTCTTAGCTTGGAAGGCCTTGCTGGGGGTATGAAACCCCCGCTGTACATCGCACCCCACCCCCAGGAACACTTCCCAGCCACGATGAGGCACTAAACCGCTAGGAGGTTTCCACCATTGTTGCTAATTGAAAAGTGCTTCTTGATTAACAACTTCTCTACAAATAGTACATTCGTGACTGACGTACGTAAAAAAAACAACAAGATATTTTCCAATTTCCAACTAACTACCTGAATATAATCGCTTTTTATTTACTGTCTATTCTCTTTTCAAGGCAAGGTATGATGTAAAATATAACCACAATGATGCTGAGATACTTGCAAATCTCCAGATCGCAGATGTCTGCGGTAGGGATCGAACCCGATATTACCGTTTCCGTGGGTTAATGCGATCATCACCACACCATGGGAGTCCCTCGTTTCGACATTCTCCCAGCAGTGTTTTAACCTATAGGTGCTATAAGCAATATAGTATCAGTACCTGAATATATTTCTCGAAAAGTTCGGGAGGATAGAGAGCGAAACGTTCATATTTCGATGGATACACAGCTGCATCCAATGTTATATGCACTGCTTCAGGAATGTGACCGGACAGATACAATTCCTTGGACCTAAAACGGAAAAAATCTCTGGATTACTCCAACAACTAACTTTATCGTGATTGCTTCTCGAGATTCGCATTTGATATCGTTTAACCGGAGCGCAAGGGTTTCCTACTTTTCTTGCTAAGAATTACGAATTGACATCCATTGGGTGCTTCTGTAATCAAGCTATTAACCTATGTAAGGAATTTCAGCAGTTTGTCAAATATTTAACATCAGCAGTACGAAGCATACTCGTCCCACCACGGACAAGTCTTTCCATCAAATCATCCCGTTTTTTTCCTCACGCACCCTATTTCCATAAAAGCATAGAGGATAAAGCTATCGGCGTTGATGAATCCCTGAGGGCTGCGCCAAGTACTTGACTTCATTGAGCATCATTAGAGGCGACTGAATGTATGTGTGGCCTATGCAATGATTCGCTGTGGCCTACCGATGTATCGAGCTAGTGCAGCTATGCTCCCAGACAAGTTTGATACCAATTTGGCGACACCGGATGGAGGAAGGCCTGGTGGGCCAGGGGCGCGGGAATCGATCTCATGTGCATCGCAGGGCGCCTACGACCACTGCGCTGCACGTGTCCTTTTCATTCTGTTCCCATATTAAACAAAAAAATTTCCCCATTAATGCAACAACAATGGAATCTAGTTTCCAAGAACGATAGGTATCTGACGATTACCATGAATAACTGTTACACTGTGTCGCGTAAAAAGTGGTGCGTGTACCGCAATAGTTAGAGGTGTTATGCGACAGACACAAACAGACCGGTCGCAGGTTCGATCCCACGGCCCGAGCTGAGCAAGTCTTTCAAGCGTCCGAAGTTTTTCAGTTGGTAACAGACTTTTCTGGAAGGGTAGCAGCACCGACGCGACACATTGGTAGGGCACCGCCAGTCATTGTATAGGCCAGATATGCATTCAGTCACCTTCACCAATAAGTCCAACGCCTAGCACATCCCTCAGGGATTGATCGACATCGAAGGATCTACATTTAAGCCATTACTTTTTCCATCGACAGTAGAAATAACAATGAGTGAAAGTCATGAGAATCGAAAACATGTCATTCACGATAGGATATGAACAATAGATGCCTTAAAGCACTTACAAACTTGGAAGAGCAAGGATCTTCTCGAATTTTCCATAGAGATGCTTCTTAAAGTCCTTCCAATCGGGCTTCTGACCGACACAATAGGAACAATCCAAGAGTCGAACACCTTCCTTGTTGATAATGTTCTTCTTCAGCAACTGAGAAACTGTTGTCACATCAATAAATCTTTTTAACGACATCCTAGAACAAATACACACAATTTATAAGTACTTCGTAGTGGAATGGAGTTGTGGTATGGTATATTTTTATGTAATTTTTTGCAACAAGGAAACAACCTTACAGACGGTGATAAACTGCGAGCGTCCTCTTATGGTCGGCGGACGCCATTGCTTCATTACATTCATTCCGTCCATTTATTTTCCTGTCTCATCTTTTTTTTCTATCCCGCAATTCGTTTTCTAACTAGCAAATTGTGCTTTCTATCCCCTTCTATGTTTCTTTACCGTGTTGCGAAATCGTTTTCTGCTTCAGTCAAGCCAATGAGGAGAAGTTTCCTTGCACTGCTTGATCTTCTATCATTCGTCGTTTTGAGCACAGCGAAAGGTCTGATGCTGCTACAGGAAAGTCATGAGCAAACGTTTGCCTACGCTTTGGAGAAGTGAGTTATTATGGTTCTATTTTGTTATAGCAACCATCTTTCGTACTAGGTAGTGCTGTAGGCAATATAGCAGTAGTACTTTCATGGATTTGAGAGAACCGGTGTGATTTCTTCAACATAATAAATACTTGATTGATCTTCCTCCATCGCTGAACGGTCCTACTCTGTATCCCTGTCCAAAATATCGCCATGCACCGCTGAATGCAAAGTGTTCACTCGCCTTCTTAGCATTTCATTGAATTTCGGGTACATTCTTCAATGGCAGTCAATGATGCCCAAGTGCTTGTGCTGTAACTCCAGAAGCAACAAGAGTGAATTCTGATTTTGTCAGTTCATTAACTAGGTCGCGAATTCTCGTTTTGTCTGCGACGGAGAATCACTGCTCAAGAACTTCTTCGTAATCCTTTGGATCGCAGAGCACACACACACATGAGCGTAATTTTTAGCGGCAGCTCTAAATAAGGTCATGTAGCTGTTTCATGGATTTGAGGAATTGGTGTGATTTCTGAAACTAACTAAGTAACAATAACACAGTAACTTGACTGGTGCTAAGATGTCTGAAATAAGTTTCTCCAGTTGCCGAATCGTAAAGATTTATTGAATTACTCGTTTTATCAGCATCATGAAACGTAAGTGCTTGACCTCAAGCGGATTATTATGGAAAAGTGCCTTTTTTCAAGAACAGTTTTATTTTTTATTTTATTTTACTCGACCCGTTTTCGCGTCTACTGTGCGGATTGCAGCACTTCTCACATCCCATTCATATCCTCGCGTCCACCATCTATTAAGATCTTCTAACTTTTACGTGTGGTTTCAGCTGCTGCTTGAAGATTTTCATTTCATCTTGATTGTCGTAGAATACTGGTTAAGTCGATTCTCACTGGAGTCTTGAGATAGCCGGGCTAGAGCGTTCTAAATTGGATTGCAGAGAGTTTTTTCCCGCAGAAATCCGGTACCAATTTCTCGACTTCAGAGAAATGAGAGGTTTGGTGAACCCGGAGCGGGATAGAACCGATTAAACTGTGTTTTATGGTAATAACCAACCATCCTCCTAGGTAATGCTAATGCTATGTAATGTAGGTCATATAGCAGTAGTATTTCCATGAATTTGAAAAAATGTGGTTCCTCGAGCATAGCAACTACTTGATTAACGCTGATATGTCTGCGAAATAAGATTATTTCTGTATTCCTTCTTTGATAAGCTTACACGAGGTTGACAAATAATCTGTTTCCGGCTGGCGTTTCGAAGTTTTTGTCTTCGTTAGACTATCGACTCTGATCATCGGCTCTGATGAAGAAGAAGACTTCGAAACGCCAATCTGAAAACGAAGATCATTTGTCAACCTCGTGTAAGCTTATTAAAGAAAGAATATATATTGACTAATCCTACCTAGCTTTAAAGAAAGTCGGTTTTGGAATAAGATTCTTTAGTCGCCGGGGAAATGACTTCATCGAAATAAACCTCAGTAATAATGGAACTAACCTCTTTTCCATCTGTCAGAATGTTATACGAAGCGTTACAGAGTTACTTTGATTATGCAGTAATAACCACAATGATGCTGAGATATTTGCAAAACTCCGGACCCCAGGTGTCTGCGGTGGGGAACGCTTTGTAGCTGTTTCACTAACAATACCCTGCCGTGAAAGCTTGTTAAAGGTAATAGATAAAAAGTCAACATTATGCGACAATAGTTAGTGTAGGTGGATTTAAGAGTTTTAACGATTCAAATGTAATAGTAATGATTTAATTTGTGAGAAATTTTCGACAATGATTCCAGTAATTCAAGATGCTCTTCATTTGTCCATCTAGGATTCCAACAGCACCGATTGAGGACCATGTTCTCGATATTTTGGAATTGGAGGAACCACCTCCGCTTTTCACTCGTCGCAAGCGCGTTGACAAAATCACCACGTTTATGGCGAAGTTGTATCACGAACTAGAGGACGATGTTGAGGGGTAACATTGTTTATTTTTCTTTGTTTTGTATTGTTTACGTCTGTCTATCGTTTATGTTTATTTGTTCTCGTTTTTTCCTTTTTTCTTAAATTCATATTGAGGAGACAGCGGTGGATGTCCCTTAGTACTTTATGTCCATTGTAATTCCTTCCTCACTCGTTTACCCACCTCCTCACTGTCCTTTCCCTCCTCCTTCTCTCTCCTCTCCCCTGACTTGCCTCAGTTATAAAAGACCTGTCTATTCCTTTAACACTTTCTTACCTAATATTTGTTTCATCAATCTGCTGTGTTCCAATGGTTTTTCCTATATATGTACCATGTGTTCTGCCTTGCGCCTACATAGATGTAATTTGTAAATAGATAGGTTATTATATGTCATATTCCTTCCCAAGGTTTACCGCTTAATCGTGGTTGGGAAGTGTTGCTGGGTGTCCGACTGCGATGCACAACGGAGGATTCATCCCTTGGCAGGCTCTCCTCAGTTGAGAAGGAGTGCAGCGTTTCCATCGGGAAGCCTAGCTAAGAGTAAACCAATACCAGGATCCACCACCGTCCTGGTATCAAACTAGTCGCGTGGTGTCAAATCTCCCTCTGATACTCATTGGTTTCGACTGCCTGTGGTGGTGAAGACCTGGAGCAGGCTTTGGCCAGGGTGACCTCTGGACTCCAGGGAACCGCAGTGGCTTAGACCACAAATCTCTGAAAAATTGTGATTATGCTGAGGTCCGCACAACCAGTGTGGACAGGCCAGTCAGGTATCAAGTAGGTATATGTCATATTATTAGCTACGCGGAATCCCTCAAATTTGATCAGAAGTAGTATTCTGCGTGAATTATTAGCGAAGATACCATGATGTAATGCAAGGGTAAAGTTGCACCTGACTCTCCAAAATGGAATTATTGTTGTGGTGGTTCATATGGTAAAGTGTTTTTCTTTTTAACTTGAGGTCTCCTCTATCTGTAGTATTTAGTTCTGTATTACCTCTTAATAGTTTGAAGTGATGTAGTTATGCCTTTTAGGGAGATTTCAAGTCAAACTTCTGGAGTTGAAGACTGGAGCAGCGCTGATAGGATAGTGTCATTATCCCCCAAAGGTCGGCCAACCTTAGATTTCGTCTCTTCTCTCCCAAATTTTTCCCACATCCTATGTTTTTTTCAGTTATTATTCCAGTAGTTGATAGTTACTAGTGTTTGAGCAGAGCTATATTACATCAGGAGGAAGTGTCATTTAGAAGTTTAGAAGGGCTGTGTTTTTCTTTTCTTTCAAACTAGTGTGTGAAAACCAACTTCAATGTATTCTCCTAAAAGTGGTTGTGAAATGAGCTAGTTACAACAACTATTACTATCGTTTGTGATTTGCATCCGTACCTAAGCGCATGTAGCGCAGTAGTCGGGACGCCCTGCAATAACATGAGATCGATCTCCAGACCCACTAATCCCTCCTTCACTCCGGAGTCGGCAAATTCGTACCAAACTTGTTTAGGAGAATAGCAACACTAGCTCGACACATCGCTAAACCGCCGCGGGTTGTAAGCATTTTTTCGTTTCTTTTTTTAAATTGTAAAGGCCAGACATGCATTCAGTTACCTCCATGCTATGCTTAATGAAGTCGAATGCATGGCGCATACCTCAGGGATTGGTCATCGTCGAGAGTTTTATCTTTTTTATCCTTACGTGCAAAAATTGTTTTCATATCTGATTTCCGGAAAAGTGGTGTGATGGCCTCTAGTACTGTATTTTTCCCACTATGGACTGGAATTCTTTTTTACTAACTGCCTTCGTGTTTCTCAGTTACATATTATTAGAATTACGTTCATTATTTTCTGATTGTACCGTTCTGAACCCTAACTGGATTGCTATGAAATATCTAATGTTTGGTTTAGAGATGAATTTCTCCAACGGGATTGTTGCTATTGCATTTAACTGCGATGATTTGCCGTCCAGTGGTGCTTCTCATTTAATCGCATCGCAGCTCAGAATATTCCTTCCAGAAGAAGAATTGCTTTTTGCTGAGATATCAATATACCACAATAAGTGAGTTCGTCTTAAATAGTGAAGGAAGAATGGAAAGGATTAGCTTACTTATATGCTTGTGAGTCTGTTTTGTCCTCATTTGGTATCCATTTAAGGACAGGTGCTCTTACCTTAGTTGACTCCACAGTCGCAACATCGCAACAAAAAACTGTTGGTTTCAATATCACTCGAATGATGTCGGATTGGATTCTGGGGCTGGCCGAACCGAAACTATTTATTCGGATTGAAAGTGGTTAGAAAACGTGTAAAATTGTACTTTTGTAAAGATTGAACTGTTTCTCGGATATTGGTGTTCGAGATGTGTTTCCAGGCAAAGATCCATACTACTTGTCAAATATACAACTGGAGAGTTTCATCATTGCTTCATTTCTTGATGAACAAATACATATTCCACAGCGTACAGCAAGAACAAGACGAAGTGTAGAACCGATTCCGGAGATAAATGTAACAGAGCGGAAGGCAACCAGGATGAACCCTTTTTCTGGCAGTAATGGTGAGTTTTGCAACTCAGTTTTTTCTTTTTATTAGTGGTACATTGAGAGTTAGCATAACGTGATGAAAGCGTTTAAACAACGGAACGCCCCTATGTTTCCTGGTTACGAACCTGGACAGCCGGGGTTTATAAGATGACTATGAATTTTGTTGATTTAAACATAATGATGCTGAGATGTTTACAAAGCGAAAGCGCTATCACCCTTTTTGCGGGCTAACGCGTTCACCACCACACCATTGCGAGTCCTTCGTTTCGCTTTCTCTCAGCTTTATGTTGATTTGTTTGTTCCAATACAAACATATTAGTTTTTCTTTTAAGATGGTGAGGTGGAGGGATGTCACGTGCAAAGTCTGTACTTGAATTTTGCCGACATAGGATGGAGGGTGAGGAGTTCTAGCTTAGTTTTAATGAATTAATCATTGTTAACGAGTCATATCAGGAGTGGGTTATTGCGCCGGAAGGCTATTCGACGAATTATTGTTCCGGTGCTTGTTCTAGTGATTCACCTATGCACAGTAAAATGAATGCAACGAATCACGCTATTGTTCAGACATTGGTAGGTCTTCCCGCATTTAAAACAATAGGCCAAATTCAAAAGGTCGACTTTTTATAAACCTCGCCATACTAATCGATATATATATACATGTTCTTACGAACTGCCCTTTTTTCCTTAGCTGACGCGGTGTTGGTGTAGATGTTCTTATGAGGAAGGCGAAGTCGCCGAAACGTCAGCCAACAACAGCAATAAGAACATCTGCATCAACCTCGTATCAGCTAAGTAAAAAACGGGAACTTTGTAGGAACATATGAATGGGCCACAGTATTGATTTATCCATTCCACTTAGGTACACTTGGTGGATCCAAAACGTGCTGAAGAAGCCAAATGTGCTCCGATTCAGTTATCGCCAGCGAAAATACTCTTTATAGACAATCATGGTAATGTTGTAATGAGGCGATATCAAGACATGACCGTGCAAGAATGTGGTTGCCTTTGAGAAGTTGATTTTAAAGGATTCTCGTAACTTTCCGCTTATATATTGTCTTTCTGTACTCGATTTTACGTGTGGACTATGTTTCTCCATTAGGAACTAAACAGGTTGATTAGAGCTGCGTGCTGTCACGTTCAGAGAAGGTGAACCACTGGTAGTTATGTAGAATCTGGTGTTCTCAATGTATATATTTTTAAGTTTTCAAGATATCATAGAGGTACTCCCGTTCTTAAACCGTTTCGGTCGATTTTTTTTCTTTTTTTCCTTTTTCTAGTTTAGGTTTCAAAACTGGTGAGCAGTTATGTGTGACCAAATCTCTCATTATTTCGATACCTTTTGTAAATACATGTGAAGTCTATGATTCCGGTTGCAAGGGTTTCTTTGCGAAGAAAAACTCGGTTCTGAAGTCTGATCTAAATTTCTTCACGGTGCGTATTTTTCCCGAGCTTGTATATTCTCACTTTGTTGCATGATACTATGCGTTATTGTCCAACGGATAAAGTTTTCTTTTTGGAGGATTTGAAGCGTTTTAAGTGTTAATTCGAATAAGAGAGTATTTGCACTATAGTGAACAATAACGCTTCTCTAGCTGTTGATAGAGCAGCTCCGGAAGTTTTCATATCAGCAAACCTTGTTTAAAACAGCTCTTATCTAAACTTCTACAAATCATCCCTCGAGGTTAATTTGTGTTCATGAAGTTTCAGCGTTATCATAAAAGTTGGAATCATCTTCATGGTCTGCGCAAAAATGCAGTAGTTGTGACACAGTAATGAGAGATTGGTTGAATTGATGCTGATTTGAATTATGCCCGAGTTTGAAATATTATCAGTATACGACCAAATTTAGTTTATCTAGAATACAGGAGTATTTTGCATTCCTTCAGGGCTTGAAAGAATAGGGATAATTCGGTTGAGTTAAGGAAGGCTTTTTTATACATGAACCGTCTTCACATCTACTGCGCGAGTCCCAGCACTTCCTACGTTCCATTCGTTTTCCTCTCATTCATCGTCGGCGAAAGTCTTCATATACTTCTCGTACGGTTTCTCCTGTTTCTTGAGGAACTCGTCTTTTTATGAATAGCCGTGGAACGTTGGTTGAGGCGATTGTCCTTCCAATCTTGGTGATAGGCAGGCTACAGCGTTCCCACGTAAATTGGGAGGTAGCGTGGAACGGTTCGAACTAGCGCCTTTGCTTTCTGGTGGATAGGCATCACTACGGCCCCTTTCCTGTTATGTAAAAATTGGTTAATGGTTCAGTTATAACGGCAGTGGGGCGTACGTATTGGAGCAGATAACCCTTAAATGTTATCGCTTCGTTCGAAATACGAATAATGAAAACGTGCAAGCTAAAGGGTGCATAGGTACTATTGGCTGAGAAAAATCCTAAAGATGGTCTAGCAATACTATAGTCTTCGTTTTTCCGTTCTTTTAATCTACAAAGAGCGTAGTTTTTGCCTATTAGTATACGAGACTTTTCGTTAGAAACGTAAAAAAAAGTGATCAAATTGGGCAAGACGACTCGACGTTTTGGCCTTAGAGTAAATGGGTGCGAGTGTTCCACACTATTTGTTAAAAGCCTTGCCATCACCTCCAACCACTAACCACAATTTACAGATCATTGTTCATAATAGTTGAGTGTATAGAGTCTTTGACAGGACGAATTCCTTACTCTGTTTCAATCAAATGTAGTCGTAGATTTATAGAAATTACAACGATGAGTATCACAAGCAGCGCCATGAACACCAGCCGAATTATAGAAGCCATGAACTGCGTATGTATATATACTGTATATATATATATATATATATATATATATATATATATGTATATAAAAGCAAAGTCGTGGGTGTTAGGTCAAATATCGGATAGCACAAGTGTTGGAACTGTTCTGGAAATGTACAAATTACTTCGAATACTCTCGTTATTGTGTTTCCTCAGGCGTTTTTCTTCGTCCCCAAATGGGTGGTAGCACTAGCATGAGTAGAGTAATTCCGTAGAATATTCCCGAAATAATGGTGAAGTTGAAGACAAACTTGTAATTGTCACAAGTTAATGGACCATTATCGCTGCAAAAAAAGGTTACTTCATCGAAGATTAAACGATGAATTTCCTGTTAATGATTGGGAAGTTTGGGTTACGAAGTAACTGAACTGGTTTCTTTCGTATATATTTCGTATCTCTCATTACACGACGCTCATGTTTAATATAAAAATCAACTGGTTAGAATCTTGCTGAGTATCGATACGGGTCTTCGGCATAGTTTTGACATTTTCTAAGGTTGTGTCCGCTCTCGAATTTGTTCCTAATTTCAGATGTAAATAACCCATGAAAGATACTCCAAGTTAGAGTTAGGCGTCTTGGCAGCGAGGGATCACTTTACTACGAGATTTAGAACAAAAGTGTATGGACATAAATGATAAAGCTCTCGGCGTCGATCATTCTTTCAGGGATGCGCCATGCATTAGACCTCATTAAGCATCGTTTGGAGGTGACTGGATGCATATCTGGCCTTTGCAATGACTCGCGATGGCCTACCGATATATCGAACCAGTCCTGCTATCCTCAAAGGAAAGTCTGGTACCAATTTGTCGCCTCCGGAGAGATGGAAGGGTTAGTGAACCTTGGGCTCGGGAATCGATACCATATGTATTGCATGGCACATCCGACCACTACACCACACGCGCCAACATAGAATTATATTATATTGTGATTTTACAATATAGTTAAATGGACCATGCAAACAGTTGGGTTCGTGGGTAGTACATACTACTTGTTGCATTAGTATATATTACCTACCTTATTTTACTAAGCTGTTAAATACTACCTACTTCAAAACATTGTTCATAATACTTCATCTCAATCAGATTTCGTCTCCACTTACCTGATTTCGAAATGTAAAATTTGGGAATCCTAGAATCGGAAAGTAGCAGTGGGGATTCCATTAGAATACCATCCCCTTGCCAAATTTTGTTACCTATTTGATACTTGATACTTGAACGGCCCGTCATCACTAGTTGTGCAAGCCCCAGCATAATCACCATTTTCGGAGATTTGCTGGTTAAGCAATTGTGGCTTTCTGGAATCCCGTGGTCAGCCTGGTCAAAGTATGCCTCAGGTCTTCACCACCACAGGCAGTCGCAGCCCTTGTGTATTAGAGGGAGATTTGCCACCACGCGACTAGTTTGAGATACCAGGACAGTGGTGGATCCTGGTGTTGCCTTACTCTTAGCTAGGCTTCCTCATAGAAACACCGAACTTGGAGGCCCTGCCGGGGTGACGAATCCTCCCGATGTACATCGCAGTCCGACATCCAGGAACACCTCCCAGTCACGATGAGGCGGTAAACTGTTGGGAGGAAATTTTGTTTCATTACCGAATTACGTATTTGTTTCGCTATGGTCTTCGTTTTCAACTTTCTTAACATTAATTGAATGAGAAGAAAAGCTCACTTAGTGGAACATGTGTTGAATATCCCGTTGTATTGGGTGTATCCGATAGCTGCTTGTGCGATGCTCGCCGCGAAACTAGCCGATCCGACCATCTTGTGGACAACGGAAATATTCTGTTGTGTTCGTTTAGCTACGCCAGGCAGTACAAAGCTCACGAACCCAAACAGAAACTGCAATAATGAGCTAGTAGTAATAAATAATGTAGTATAATATGACATTTTCTTTGCTTTTTTAAAAATTTTACTTTATACACCTGTCTTCACGTCTACTGTGCAGATCCTAGCATTTCACGTACTCGATTCGTTTCCTCGCATCCATTTCCTTTCATCTTGAGTGGTCGAATGCTGGTTTAGACGATTCTCTCTAAAGTCCAGAGATAGCCGGGCTGGTTCTTTCCCAACTGGATTGCAGAGAGTGGTTTTTTCCTGGACAAGTCGGGTACCAATTTCCCGACGCCGAAAAGATAAGGGGCTTGATGGACCCGGAGTGGGATCGAACCAGCACCGTGGTCCTGATGACCAGCATTACTACCACTGTGCTATCCACGACCTTGTGCAATGCAACAACATAGTACAATAAAGTGTAAATGAATGAGATAGATGATGTATTACTATACAATATAATGGATAAAAGTGACGAAACAAAATAAAAACGATTAAGTAGAGCCGAAATAATGGTTATGGATATTCCTCAAGCATTGACTTGATACATGGATAGGCCACTAAAAGGCACTATATCGGCCAAATGTGCATTCAGTCACATTCTACGGTGATACGAATGGATTTAAATGCATGGTGCACCCATAAGAGATCAATGCCGAACGGCTTTTATCTCTTATTTGCATTTTACATTATATTGCATGGATCGTTCCTCTTATAAAGTTGATAATACGAATTACCTAAATGCAATACAACAGCACAAGAAGAGTTATCCCTGTTATGAAGTTTAAACTAATCAATAACTCAGAATCCCGAGTCCTTGCTCATAATTTTTGCACTTCACATTTTCTGGTGCGTTGCAAAGTTATGTTTTCGGAAATGTCTTGCTTATACTCACCAAAGTATGGAAATGACAGATTTCTTTGGAATACTAAGATATCCATAGAGACTAAAACATTTATAAAATCTCATTTTCTTTTCCCACATGGCTCGACATTACATATTATGCCGTCTCCAACATGTCTCACGTTTGATTCGTATCTTCATATCCGTCATCCACAAAAGCCTTTGGATTTGTAGATTCGGTTGCTGGTCTAAGATATATGGTCTTTTTCATAAATGTCGTTAAATGCTGGTTGAGTCGATTATCCCTCAAAATGCCGGGATACCGCGCTAAGACATTTCCGAATTTTCATCACAAGCAGTGACCACCTTTTGTGGATTGAAGAAAGCCAACTGATGTGAGAGAAATCTGGTACTGGTTTCCCACACAGGATTGTTCGATGGCTCGATTGGCTTAGAAATGGAGTTGGAGCAGGAGAGCTTTGTGCCTATTTAAAGGCTGGAATGTGGCGAAGTAACATATGAAATTTGATGTATATAAGTGTAAAAAATGTTTAGTAAGCCGTGCAGTCGTGGTAGTTTCCGAGTAGCACGACAACTCTTTGATCAGTAAAAGTAAGCGACTATCTCCCATGAAGATATAGGAACATCTTAACACACTTTTCTCTGCCTTTGAGAGAGAATCTTTCTTAACAGGTATTCAACATATGAATGAAAGGAGAGTCAGCGGGTCCTAAAGCTACATCCGAAGCAAGATACGAGCTCGACCAGGGCTATAGTTGAAAGTTGCTCGTTAACGAAACCAAAGTAGGAGGTGAACAGTATGTGAAGCGTTGGTGGCTATACATCACAAAATATGAAGATGGACCTATATATTCGTAGAATAATCGACGCAAGATGAATAGATCTATATGTATTTCGGTCAAGCAAGATGAATTGTTCTATATGTATTTCGGTCAACGGTGAACTCCATACTTGGACTTTTCGGTACGTTTGGTTCTACGGGACCACTTTCGTCTTAAAGATAACTTCATTATTCAGTTCAATGACAAAAATGGATTGTAGTGGAAATAACAATATGGAAGTTACTGTCGGAAATCCTTCAAAAGACCGCATTCTAAACGAAGCACCTGCATGGTGGTACGGTATGGATATGCATAGCTGGTTAGTAAAATGAAAAGGATAAACGGTAAAGCTTTCAACGATTATCAATCGCTGTAGGATGCACAGTACTATCCATTTATTAAAACGCCGTATAAATGATTCCCTACATATTTGGCTTACATAATGGCTTCGTGAGGCCTACCAATGTATCAAAATTAATGAACTTTTCCCTCCAGACAAGTCTGGAACTAGTTCGTCAATCCTGATTGGACAGGCCGCAAAACTCGCCCTGGATGCAGGATCGTGTGTACAAGCATGTGTGTATTGCGGCTGTAGGCATCTCCAACCACTGTGCTATATGATCCAGCTAATAATTAAATTCCATTATTATTTACGTATGCGATCGGGATCAACAAACTGTATAAATAAGGATGAAGGGAAAATGTTCCAAAAACACTGAAATATTACCTGAATAGTATAGAGAAACATCACAGTTACGCCTATCCAACTATGAGCAGACGTGAAATGCTTCATGCTCTGTAAAGTTCAATGAAACGTAAATAAGGAATGTATGAAAAGACCCACAATTTTTAAAACCCACTATATGACCGTCTATGTATAATGAAAAACTGCATAATTTGCTCTAACGGTAGAGACGGTGACTGCATGAGTTCGGGTACAGTCTATCTGATCTCTTGTAAAGCGTGCGGGGACGAATATGTTGGCGAAACCGGTAGACCGGCGTCCGCATAAAAGAACACCTAGTCGGTAAATCTAAATTAAAACAAAATACTCCACTAGGCGCGCATAGGATGCAGGAGCACAACGGAGAAGATTTCAAGGTAGGAGTCACTATCCTTACGCAGGAATGGAAAACATCAGCGCGTAAAACTTTTGAAGCGTTTTGGATCAATGCCAAAAATCCAAAAATGAACCGTAAGGGGAGGTGTTTTGCCATCAAGCCTGACCTGGCGCCATACCTCAGGCTAATCAAGTGACCTGATACAGACACGGTTACCGCCCATGTATTACTCTGTGCAGCTGCTATTCATCAACTAACACCAATACTTACAACGAATAAACTGTAGGTGTTTAAATGAAGCTGTTTCTTATGCGAATACAAATTTATTTGTTAAGTTTTATCCGTTAAGGTTATGAAAGTGTTTGGCTGGGTAGATCGCATCTCAATTTGATCTTTCCAGGCTCTGAAGAAGGCAAAACCGCCGAAACCTCAGCTATTGTATCCCAATAAATCCTATAATAACAACCGCGTGTCTGCTTATTGAAGGAAAACATCGGATTATCAATCAATGCCGAAGTTAAAAGAAAGTCGGTCGTGGGAATGTTTTTTACCATTTTCTTTTTAATTACAACCTGTAGTCACTCTGCCCTCCCAACGGTTTACCGCCTCATCGTGGCTGGCAAGTGTTCCTGGGTGTCAGACTGCGATGTACAGCGAGGGGATTCGTCCCCCCGGCAGGGTCTTCCAAGATGAGAAGGAGCCCGGCGTTTCCATCAGGAAGCCTAGCTAAGATTAAACCAATACCAGAGTCCACCACCGTCTTGGTAGCAAAGTCGCATGGTGGCAAATCTCCTTCTGATCCACAAGGGCTGCGGTTGCCTGTGGTGGTGAGGACCTGGGGCAGACTTTGGCCAGGTTGTCCTCTGGACTCCAGGGAACCACAATGGCTTAACCAACAAATCTCCGAAAAATGGTGATTATACTGGGGTCTGCATAACCAGTGATGTGAGGACAGGCCGTTCAAAAATCACGTAAGTCACTCTGCCAATGCTAATGCATAGTTTTTAGTTGGTTGTAGAACTTGCTGAATTGGTAGGCAGATGATGCTTTTTACTAATCATATGGGGTTTTCTTTCTTGCAGCTTCATTTCAAAGAGTAACTGCTCTAGGCATATGATTCCATTCATTGTGGCTTTGAAAAAGGCCAAAGCACCAAAACGGCAGCCTCATGTAAGCGTTTTCTTGTAAAATACCTGTGTAAACTCATTGTATAGAACAAAATTCTGGTTATGTTGAGGTTAAACGGGAGTAGGCTCTCAAAAACTAGGATTATATTGGTCGCATGAGCGAAATGATCGCGGTTACTTTAGCTGGATCGTGATTTTTTTTAGCGAAATTCTCCAAAATGGATTATCCTGCAGATGGTGATTGTTAGGAAAGATTTCTTTATACAAGTTTTCCATACACCTATCTTCTAAAGCATAGTAGCTTTCAATGAGCATAAGCGAATGAACATAAATTGGCAGCTCATTGCTTTGAAGGCATTCCTCTACCCTCAACCACTTCTACACGTTCCTTCAAAGACAGGTTTCTACAACATAGTTTTCTTCTTGGTCGCTTTTCAATAGATTTTTTCTCTAATTCGATCCTAGAATAGATTTTTGTTGTTTGGTCGAGTATTTGTGATGCCTTCCTTTTTATGTCATCAACTGAGATTCTTAGCAAGGCTTAACGACCATCTTCGAGCATACGAATTGTACAAGGAAGCACTGTTATGCTTCTACAGCTCACTTCTCATAATAAGTGTTCAGTTGGCTCATTGCTATTTTCTAGTTTCTACATCAGGTTTTATTTTTGATGATACCGGATGGACGATATCCACCGAGCCCTAATTAAAAACTTTGCCTAATTTTTTGTCGTAAACGCTTCTTAGTACCTTTTAATAATGTAAAGACTGGAATAGAAGAACGTACATTAGCGTTTTTCTGTAGAATCATAGCAGCTAACGCTGTTGAGAAGAAACCCATAGCGAGCAGATGAAAGACGGTATGGATAAATTTCGATAAAACCTTATTGTCGTAACGGTACATTCGATGGGAAAGTAGTGCTAAAAATGAAGGAGATCTATGATGTCAGTTCTCGTACGTCGTTGCTATCAACTTGTGAAAGCAGTTTTTCTTAATCTCACAACGATTTTTAACTACGTAAATACATTTAAACGGATGAAACAACTGTCTTATAGCGCATCGTAAGGCCCTACGTTGTAGACTTAGTACACGTAGTCAGTTCTGTTGCTTTAAATATAAGTGCGTCATTTTCTTGTTCAGCAGTCGCGAGGTTTTTAAACATCATACATTTACTTCCATAGAGAAACACAATATAATACAACACTAACTGACGTTTCGGCAGTATCGCCTTCTTCAGTACTTGGAAGGGTATACTGATATGCAATCTACTAGGCCAAACGCTTTAATAACACTTACAAAAAGACGAAAAACTCCATGGCAATTACACGATCAACAGCTTCTCGAAAAACTCACCGCTTTTTACGTAAATTCCAATGAGAAAGTTTAGAACAGCTGATTATAGTCGCATATGGTTGATGACTGCACCATCCCCCATCAGAAATTGATGCGAACATACGGGGTCAGGTCGCCTATGACCTCTGGGTATTCATCCCTGCTATTCATTGTAAGGATTTTGGCATTTATCCAAAAAGCCTCAAAAATTTTTCGCGCTGGTGTTTTAGTTTCCTGTGCAAGGATATTGACTTTTACTTCAAAATCGTCTCCGCTATGCTTTGGATCCTATGCGTGCCTCTAGGGTCTAGGGTCACCGTGATTGGGGCATAACAATACCTGAGAATGCGCGCTCGCTATTAGAATTGGGCCCAAGTTTTTCACAGTTTTTTTCACAACCCATTTCTAAAACAACCCTGCGTAGGATAGCATGCAACCTTTATGAGCTTCAAGATCGACTCTGCTATCAGGCCAAACAAGAAACATCAAATAGAGATAAAAATCAAGAGGCGGCGACATTACCACCATCTCCTTACGCACGCATAGGATACAAAAGCATAGTGGAGACGATTTTGAAGTAAAAGTCAATATCCTTGCACAGGAAACTAAAACATCAGCGCGAAAACTTTTTGAGGCTTTTTGGATAAATGCCAAAAACCCTACAAGGAATAGCAGGGAGGAATGCACAGAGGTCATACGCGACCTGATCCCGTATATTCGCATCAATTTCTGATGGGGGATGGTGCAGTCATCAACCATATGCGACTATAATCAGCTGTTCTAAACTTTCTCACTGGAATTCACGTAAAAAGCGGTGAGTTTTTCGAGAAGCTGTTGATCGTGTAATTGCCATGGAGTTTTTCGCCTTTTTGTAAGTGTTATTAAAGCGTTTGGGCTAGTAGATTGCAAATCAGTATACCCTTCCAAGTACTGAAGAAGGCGATACTGCCGATACGTCAGCTACTGTTGTGTTGTATTTCGTTTCTCTATGGAAGTAAATGTATGCTGTTTAAAAACCTCGCGATTGCTGAACAAGAAAACGACGCATTCATATTCCAATGCCGAGGTTAATAGAAAGTCGATCCTGGGAGCTATAAAATAAAAGTGTTATAACAAGAAAAAGAACGAACTAGTATACCTTCTCCTTGAAAGAACACAAGTCCAGTGCTCATGAACATTCCGTGGAAGTTAATTCCTCCGTTATCACCTTCTGATGGCCATTTTATACCGATTTCCATTGTGTTGAATAGATAACCTTACAAACAATACGATTAGAAAAGCAACACCTATGTTTTCTGTCGGAGAAGGAAATAGAATTATTGTTGAGCTTTTCCTATCTACCATTTGCGCTTGATAAAATAGAAATGAAAGTAGTGCATTCTTTTGAATTCGATCGGTATCATATTGATTGTTCAGAATTCTTCAGCGCTCTTTAACAGCATGAGATTGTAAATGAAATTAGGTCTGGCTCATAGGTGACACCTTTTCGCTGCAATTCAATCAAAAGGATATTGGTCTGCGTCCTACTGTCCCTCTTTCGCCCGAGAGTAGGACTACAAGTGAAATGGATTGTGGTTCATAAGGGACTTCTCTTGTTTCGGCACTTCTTTGTGTACTGCTTATTATGTCCTCAATTTCGTAGTTGGTGTTGCTTTGCTCCATTATTCATAGAATGTCTCTCTGATAGAATGACGTTAAACCTTTAGTGATAAAAACCTATTGACTTACCGCTGAGTATCACAAATGCAAGTCCGCATAATTGATTAAATGATAGTAACAAATCGAAATAAGCATATCGATGGCTGGTTTTCTCCGACCAAACGAACTTGTCTGACATTTCTATAAAAGTAAAATTAGATTAACTACATTGTTTATGCTAAGACGACCATGTTCAAAATGAAACTTTGTCCTTAAGATACCTAGAATGTTTTTTGAGATACATAGGAACACGTAATATCAACAGAGGTGTTAAAAAGCCATACATTTTTGTCTCGTGAGCTCGAGCAATGAGGAGCATTATGGTGTTTCCTATGAGAGCTAACCTAACAACCAATTTAAAGCAGCTCAAGAAGCATCGGATCCGTACTGCCTTTGCTTCAGCTAATCTGTTGTCATTTTTATATGGACTATAGAAGAGAGCTTAGTGAAATATGTATAAAGAAGTCTTTCGAAAAAGACAAGATTAAGGTGAGGATCGTGTCCTGGCTTTTTCATTCCAATATTATTCATTTTTCTTCACTACAGGCGAATACCTCAGAAGTGACTCATTGCATTTTTTGTTTAGGTGGGAACATCTACGGTGTGATAGTGGTTCCTACTTTTGTGACGATAAGAGGCTGAATATTTATTAACAAATATGATTCAGATTCACGATTCCTATGTCCTAATTAGCGTTCACTGCAAATATAGTTACTGTTCCATGCATTAGCCACCATTCAGCATTGGAGAGATGGCTTAATGCATACTTGGATCATGCAATAACTTATGAGTGCCTCTCGATGCAACAGAAAGTTAGCGTTTTTACCATCCCAGACAAGTTTATTATCAGTTTACCGATCCAGAATGGATGGAAGGCTTGATGAACCTACTATATTGGGTCGTACTAACGACAGTGTGGATACTATTGCGCAATCGTAACTATTGCGCTGCAGTCACTGCCACCCCGTTATAGCAATAAAACAGGTAGGCGAAACGAAGGATCTGCATAGTGTGGTGGTGAACGCGTTAACCCCCTGAGAGGGTAACAATGGGTTCGATCCCCACTACAGACACTTGCTACCCAAAGTTTTACAAATATCTCAGCATCATTATAGTTGCATTTCACTTAATACCTTACCGTGAAAAACAGTAGTAGACAGTAAATAGAAAGTTAACATTCCGAAGACTATGTTTATTCGTATAATGCTGAGATATTCGTAAAATCCTGGACTGCAGGTGTCTGCGGTGGGGAACAAACGCGCTATTGTCCTTTCCGGGAAGTGACGCGTTCACCACCACGCCATGCGGGTCCTTCGTTTCGCCTGTCAGATTTGCAAATATCTCAGCAATATTGTGGTTGTACTCCAAAGACTGTTCATTTACGGTGTTATATGCAGAGGGACTTTTACATTTGAATACCATTGTTATAACTCATTTTGAAGTAAAGGTGTTCGTCAGCGAATTAGGTTTTACGAGTTTTTTTTTCAATGAGTGTCCGAAATGGGTTCTTAAAAACTACTGATAATTTTTCGATAATTGGAATGCTTGAAGAGTTGGAAACATGATTGGCTTGTAGAAAAAACTCCGTTTGGCTACAAGAGTAAGTATGATTCTGTAGAACTGTTGCCTGGGTTTCGAAGTTGTTTAGGAATTCTCATAAGAAATAAAAATGACATTTTGATTTGTAATTTCCAAACAAATTCAGGCCGATACAAACATCGGACAACACATTTGGAGCATCGTTCTACTCCAATGAAAGACATATCACTTGTTCATTTGCCTTCATTCTAAAACGTGGATCAAAATTGGAGGTCCAACGGACGTACAAGAATATGCCAAGGGATGATTTTTGTTTCTGATTGCCTTGCATAAAATAGCACTTTAAGAACTATATTTCTTTTCCGTTTTCATTGCTGATCACAGCTGTTTGGTAAATATATCTCTGCAAGAGTGGTAGTGGTGAGTCAGATGCTCCAGCCAAGGAAATGACTAATAAGTCACAATTGTTCTATAACTCGAGAACTGGATAGTTTTTATGAAGCCTTGAATCTGTAGATAACTATATCGCATCGTTGGCATAAGAATTTTGATTCACAGTTTTTTACGAATGATAGTGCAGTTGTTTCTTATTTATGATTATGTGGTCAAATACAATGGAAGAAGCGAAAGTTCGATAACCGTGGAGAATAAGAAATTCGGTACATAGGCAAGAAATAATAAAGAGCAGATATGGTATCGGCAAAGGTACCTATGGATGCGGTTTGGAAGCTTATTGGGCAAACTTGGAATAATTTTGCTAACTTTAGTGGAATTGGAAACGAAGTAGTGGGATTGAATAATATACTATGATAACATAATATGCTAGCAAACGACAGGTGTTCTACGCTTTTTCGAAACCAAAAGAATGCAGTGAAATGATCTAAGAAGAAAAGACTGGCAATGATGTAGAAATGGAGATTTATTTTCCTTAAACTTGGATATCTATACATGCGCTGAAGCGCCGTGGTCGGAATGCTACCATAGTGCACGCCAGGCTCTGCATCGACTCTCCCCGGGCCAAGCGATCGTCTCACAGCTCCGGTAGTCAAAAAATCGCTGCCAGACTTATCTTCGAAGCGCTCCCTCTGATCGCCAAGAGCTTGTCACTGCTTGTGGTCAGATCAAAGGAACACCTTAGCACGGCTATTCCAAGATTGCAGATCGAATCTAATCTATCAGCGTTCTACGACATTGACGAAGAAGACAATGGTACTCAGGAAGTAGCGGATTCCCTAAATTCGAACACCGTCGTCGACGATAGCTGCTAGGAAAACAAATCAAAAAACGAAACTCTGGGATCCGTTTATTATGTGATGTCTTGTCATGTAAAATGATAGAAATAGCCTATGTCCACCTTTTATACTTGACGAAGTCCAATATAAATTTGACTAACTAGAGTAGTTTTTTCTGTCAGAGATTTCTGGTTGAGCTACTGTGCCCTTATCGCTTCACAGCGAATAATCATAGCCCTTTATCAAAATGGAGAGATTTTATATTTTATCCGAAGGGGCGAAATCTCGCGACTTGCGTTATTCCACTTAGATTATTCATATCGAGGAGCTGACAACCTTTTAGACTTCCGATAACCCTTATTATTGATAAACCAATGGTTAATGTTGCGTTTTCGCATTTAAGGTCATCACTATATCAAGATGGGAATCGTAGGTCATAAATGGTGTTTCCTTTTCTAAGGGAGATCTATCTATTTAAATAAAACCGCGTTTTACATGTAATTCGTACAGAGTAGTATATGTGGAGAAAAAGTTATTCACTATAAGTTGATTTGTTATTTTACTTTTACACCAGCCACCTTTCGTATCTACTGCGAGGATCCCAGCACTTTTTGCATTCGTTTCCTCTCATTCATCATCCACGAAGGTCTTCGAATTCGTCGGGTCGATTTTCTGCGCGGACCTGGCTTAGCCGAGCTAGAGCGTTCCCACTAGGATTACAGAAAAGAGCGAACTTTTCCCAGACAAATCTAATAACCTGATTTAATCAAAAAACGTTAACAGTTAGTTATCGGAGCAATTCCTCAGAAATATAGCTTAGGTAAAGAAATGATGTAAGTATAACGTACTAAACTGTAATATTAGTATCTGCTGAAATTTCGATGATTTGATGTGGTGAGCTGTAGAGCGGAATGATAAGTCATCGAATGAAGATATTATCTATCGGGTTTACTAGGCCTACAAGGAATGTCGCGGTGACAATCGCTTTAGATTCCCTTATCGTGGCATTGCGGAATGTTTACCATTGTACAGCTCCTTTGTAGACACCTTTGATAATACCATTCGAACGTCCAAACCCGAAGCGTATTGAAATCGAGATAATTTCGGCGCATTAGGCGATGTTTTCTGTTTGATGCTTTTTTGTATTATGCAGTCACTGGAAGCGATTAAGTTCCTGTATCGTTGAAATTGTGAAGAAGTTCAGAAAGGAGTCTTTATGGAGAACCGTTTGACATGTCGGTCATGATTTGCTTATCTGTGTTCCTTCCCTTTGTCGTACTCTTTATAAGTGCATTTGAAAATTTGAAGTATGACATAACTGTATATATGTCTTTACGAAGTGGCCATTTTTGGTCTACGCGAGGTTGGCATAGATGCTCTTATTGTTGTTGCTCTGCGAACTCGCCTAAACGTCAGTCATTGTTGCACAAAGAGAGCAGCAACAATAAGAGCATCTATACCAATCTCGCGTAGGCCAAAAAAGGGCGGTTCGTAAGAACATATTTACACATAATTCGACTATTATGCCGAGCTTTATAGAAAGTCGATCTTTTGAAGTATAACAATTATTATCGACTAAATCTGAAAGGTTACATATTCAGAAATTTGTGAGTAACTTTAGATTATATGAAACCATTTAAATCGGCGTCAGTTCCTTTTTGCACCACGTTTTTCTATGCGATTCTGTCGATGTGGAAGTGCTAGTCAGCCTTATTTCACATTCACTATGTTCAATATAGACGCTCATTTAACTTGAACATGGATAATCAGTGTCTTGGCTTATTGGTAAGTTTATATCAGTTTATTACAAATCGATATCAATACCAGAATCCACCACCGTCTTGGTATCAAAGTCGCATGGTGGTAAATCTTCCTCTGATCCACAAGGGCTGCGACTGCCCGTGGTGGTGAAGACGCGGGGCAGACCTTGGCCATGCTGACCTCGGGACTGCAGGGAACCATAATGGCTTAACCATCAAATCTCTGAAAAAAGGAGATTATGCTGGGGCCCGCACAATCAGTGAGGACGGGCCATTCAAGTATCAACTAAGTATTACAAATCTCTATTGCGGCCAACGTTTTGGCGGTATTGACATTGCTGTTATCCGCTGGGGTCACCTAATGATTAACGAGAGGGCAAGCGATGATGTGCTGATTACAACTGCACGTTCATAGCAGTTTCTTCTTCCAATGATGTGGATCTCCATAACTGTTTCATTGAGTCGAGTCGATAAGAGTGGACTGCTCTTAAACGATTCCAGAGGAGCTGCCGAGTGAGATCACGTCATTAGAGCACTGCTAGAACATTCCTATATAAAAGGGCAATACTAGATGATGGTGGTTCACTCGTGTAGTGATTTTCCCTATT